AATCAAGGGCAAAAATTTATTTTAACTCTTTGCTTCTTATGCACTTGGACGTTTCCATTGCTTGATAGCAAGAATGAAAAATAACTCAATTCATAAAGGACGAAGCTAACTAAATATAAAGTAGAGAAAGAATAGAAAGAATATTAAAGAAATAGATTATTTTCTGGTATAAGAAAAACCAATAGTATGTTTTGAACTTCTGCAAGATCTGTAAAAGCACTGTGTTCTCTACAAATAAGAATCGTAGCGAATTTATGTGGTTTCCACCGAGTGCGGAGCGGACCACGATAATTACAGGAGGTCCGAGCGGGCCGAAAGCGGAAGCTGGCCGGCCCGGTCTGGATCGCAGGTGAATTGACCATATGGTATCGCGTTCCCGGCTCGGCAAGGTGTTTGAAGTTCGAGGAAGGCTTAGGTTCGCAGGTATCTATAGGGACGTTCCTTGTCGCCGACTCTTATATACAGAAGCGCTAAGGTTCATTTGTAGTCACTTATAGTCAAAATTCATGTGGGGCGATGAGTCAAACTGTTAAAGTGTTTTCATGGAACCCTTTATTTGTTTATTTACTCCATCATTTACATGACTCGTGACCACCTCTACTTTACCGATCCAAGCAAAGCTGCATTCCATTCAATTTCCTCGCATTCACCGTTTACCATAGTCTTCGAATCTTTCGTGTGTTGCTTCGGCTGCTGCTTGAGTATGTTGCCTTGCTTGTGAATGTCGTAGAATGTTGTCGAGTCGACTGTGCTTGTAATCCTGGAGATAGCTGTGCTAGGGCGTTCTTACATGAATTGGAAGAGGTCGTCTTGGATGAGTCGAACGAGGATCTTGCTTCTTGATAGACCGTAGCACTAACGACGACGCTATCCATGAGTTCCTCAATATTGGACCAGGAAAGCGTTAAAAGTTTAGTGAAGAGGATATGGCTTCATTTCCAAAGCGTATTTCGCATCATAAACTTTGTTTCTGCTAGATAAGTGGCTGATCAATACTTAGCAGGAATGCCATACCTCCTATATAGACAAAATTCATTTGATGTCGAGTTGAACTTGCTTGTTACGCACTTCCTAGTGGGTGAAGTATATATAAAAGGTGAATTACCTATTAGACTTCCGGAATGAAACTGCGTATCATAATGGGCAGGTAAGTGGGCGATTTGCATTGCACTTTTACTGTACCCTAAACAGGTTTAAATGTTCGGCAGAATTGATTTCGTCCACTTCAAAGAATTGAAGCTGTTATATAATTACTGTGAGATAATTTAGTGCTTAGTTAAAATGTAAATCTATCAATCTAATAAAAAAAACAAAGTCCAAATGAGAGCCCAAATATTCGCCAAATATTTCGAAACCGGCTTTCCTTGAATCACGGTAATCAGTATGTATTCTTTCTTTGATGAGCTTACACGAAGTTGATAATGATGTTTATTTTCGGCCAACGTTTCGACGTCTTCGTCTTCCTCAGAGCTGATGATCCGAGTCGATGGTCCTCGCTTGTTATTCGTCTCGACGTGGCAGCTTCGCCTTCGTGTCGAGTCGGTCAATATTCGCCGAATATTTTTATGCATAATATATGTACACACCTTACTAGCACGCAGTGAACTGATAACCTTTTATGTAGACTAGTTCCTAAGAGGAATACGAAACAAAGAACTCGGTGACATTGCTAAAAAATCAAGGGATTTATCCAAAAATCATCCCTTAAAGCCCAGAAACTCTCTTTCGTGAGAACTCTCACATCAGTTCTTTATAACTCTTGAAATAAACATCCAGCAACATGAGAAAGTCCTTCAGGTTCTTTAAGTCATTGATTTTCTCAGTAATTTTTCCTAAGCGTAGATATGACGCCAACTTGGCAATAACCGAATAAAAAATCTCGTTTGCGAATGAAAGTGTTGAAAGAATGCCAGTCGTTGCTATTCGTTTACTCTTTGCATTTTTTTCACTATAAATCTGTTTTTGAGTGGCAATTGAACGCAGTTCCGCGCTGTGGAGCTCACTCATTATCAGAACCACTTGCTGTAGCGGACGGGCTACAGTATTCTGTGACGTGCCTTACTGCAGCAGCTTCCTCTTGGTCAACCGACTAAAACCGACATTTCGAATCGATTCCCGAGTCGTAGCCATCAGCAAACCTATCAATATACTAGGCCGGTAGTAATTACGACGGCGAACTTCCGTCAGCGAGTATCAATCGCCACGTCGTTGAATCAGCAAAGAGGATAGATGAAATCTTTTCGTTCTCAGAGGAAATTGGAACTGAAATCGCGCACTGAATCCGAATTCATTCTCTAATTCTAAAAAATCCAATTGCTGATTTAGATCATTTTTTGTAGGCACGCCTATCTAGGGGTGTTTAGAGAAACAAAAATTAAATGGTTCTTAATACTATTAATAAATAGCAAATAATAAACAATAAATAAATAAATGAATGAAACAAAAGTTCAACCAATTATTATCTCAAATAACTTACAGCGAATTTCTTATCTCATCATTAAGTTGCTAATCCGCACAGTAAGGGGGTTGGACAGTATTGTTAAGTGCACTTGACACCCATTTAGATGATTGTTAAAACTGAGCCGCACTCTGCGTGCAACCTTTGCAAAAATCGTCATTAACAGCGATTGTCTGAGTGTATATCTAGTGACGCTAACTCGAAATGAAGATCCTCATTTCCATCGGCGAGCCGTTGATGTGTTAAAATTTTCGCCATCTGATTGTTATCTGTCCGGTCATCATTCCATTTGAAGCGACCACGACAAACCGGTCATGACAAGTGATTGAGTTTTGCTAAGGACAAAAGTGTTATCTTTCAGCGCACCTGATCTGACCTCTTTGGACTAATGGACAACCCAATCGTTTCTTTTGACGGATCTAGAAAACCGTCAATAAATAAATACTGCTAGAAATTTATAGACTGATAGATGAACAAGCTGATTGATACTATCTTCTTCTAACGCCTCTCTGTGCCTTAGTTCCAGAAGAGACAACCGGAGTACCAAATCGTGATGCTTTTCTACGAATAATCCTAAAGGAAGAACTGATGTCGCTCATCTCTATTATCCATTATCCAGCAGATAAAGATAATAAACTTCAAGGAACTGTAGGAACAGAGACAGATGTTTGAAATTTTTTAAGAAAACTTCAAATAGTTGCGCAAAAAGCCTTCTTGATGAATTTTCTGTTTGTGACAACTTTCATAATGCCTTTTGATTGTTAAGAGATGGTATGCACTGGTAAAAGAACATCTAGTATGGATATGATTTCCAAAATGGGTTCATCAACCACTACAGGGGAGGTCACTCTTCGTTTCCCGATTATGATTTTCCTTCTCACCGATTTTTTTCGTGACGGATTTTCTCATCACTCTTTATTTCATCACGATTTCGCGTTCCTTTGCACACGTCTTTGTTCTGTTTTCTGCTCATGGGTCCATACAAATCATGTGTAATCGTATCTTCAAATTTAATATTTTCCCACTGTCATTATTTCATTTTAGTTTATCATTTTTCTTCCTTATAATTTCTTTTGCTTTTGCATTATGGTCATCGCCCCATTTATGAACGTTATGATTATCATCTTAATCAGTTCGTCGAACGAACCTGCTGAAGTCGCCTGTTCTCCCTGTTCTTTTTTCTTGGCATTACTCAAGTCTTTTTTTTTCCTCAGAACTATTATTCTTTGTCGTTCAGTAGTGTTACTTCGTTCCATCGTCTGACCACCGAATGTACTCGTAAATCACGCAAGCAATGCGGGCTAAGTCTTTCATCTTACATCTTTTTCCATGTGACCCTTCATTCCCTCAGTTCTCCCAAAAAATACGAGCCTTTTTACCTCCTCTAGCGCCGACTAACTGGAACCGATCCGTTTTTACAACCACCACAACCTCCACTACTGTAAATCCAGAAGCAGGACCCTCTCTGGAGTAAGAATCTAATCAAAACTCTATATGCTTATGAATAACGATATCGGAACATGTATTCAAGTTATCGAGCTTGCACGATGATGATAAATAGATTTATTGGGCTAACGTTTAGATACCTTCTTCTTCATCAGAGCCGGAGATACTAGTCGATGGTCCATCGGTAGACCACCGCAAGTCATTGTAAAGGCCATATATGCATTCAGTTACCTCCAAACGATGCTTAGTAAAGTCGGATGCAAGGCGGATTCCTTAGGGATTGATGAACGCCGAGAGCATCCTTTTTCATTCCCTGTATCTGTATTTTCTCTAGTTCTTCGACCATTAACGCCACTGCAAGTGATAAGGTTGACATTTGCCATCACCTAATTTTCCACTGTGGTTTCTTATCACCTCAGTTTTCAATATGGCTTGCTTCTCTAAGCGCCTAAGACGGTCTATTTGTCTTCGCTTTCAGATCTAGTCATTTTTGATAAGCTGTTAACAAAGAGAAATTAACAAGTGGTCCCACTGCCATAAATCCAGCCCTTGCGATACGTCGATTGTCAGCTACAGTAGCAAATTTGTTATGACTGCGAGTATGGGTGTATGTTTGCATAGCACAAGGTCATACAGACGGGTACTCTCATCCAGATTATCGTCAAGGTTACTGTAACATTCGGCGGCTGCCTGCAAACGATCGTGGCACACGTCGCGCATCACGCATGATTGCGGACTTGTCGATTTATCGCCACCGTCACCACAAAACACATTATGGTCACGCATCGCACACTGCACCGGAGTTAATCGCTGAAAGTGCGACCGAAATCCAAATGCTCGGGATTGGACCAACATCCCGAAATCTTTAGGCCTATCAAAGTGACCACAAGACCTTCACTGTGAGATTTTTTAAGATCTTGAGAATTTATTTGTAGAGAAAAGGAAACAAAAAGAGCAAGCAGTCAGACTCAACAAACTCGTATGCCTAAGATGTACGAGTTTGGATGTGTTTATTTGTTTTTTAAGGGCCATGTGAGTGTTGTGTGGGTGAGCTTGGGTGTGCGTGACTATCGATCCTTGCTGTACCGTAGTGACGTTAGTTCAAACTCCTGTTACCCTTAACGATGCCTAGAAGTGCATCTCGATAAGCTCCTTTACATTCTTCTCGGATCACCTGAAACAAATTTGAGTAAGTAGAACATATTCAGGATTTGCCAAAAAAAATCTTACCAAACTTGCATGAAATAGCAGAACTGAAGTTTCGCTATATTTCGAAAGAATAGTACTCTTTCTTTTTCTTTTTTTGACAGAACAGTTTTGCTGTTCTGGTCGCAAAACTAACCTACAGAATACTTGAAAATTTCCCATTACTTACTGCAGGAAATATTTGAATGCTCACTTGTAAAAGTGACTGTTTGAAGAGACGTTCGTATTCCACTTGTACTTCGGCCAAGTCAATCTCAGCTCGAGAAACAAGAAGACGAATCAGGTCTTTGTCACGAACACCAATTCCCTGCAGAAGAGGTTTCATTAATTTGACACTAATGCTATAAAAAGGACTTTCTTCAGAGCATTGCAGACCAGCATCTAGAAAAAGCAACCGCGACTTGTTGTTATCCCGTGATTGACGCCAAAGAAGGTCGGAGCTTCTCATTGATTTTCTTGCGCCTAATGCTTAATTCGTGGCATTTTTCCTATTGATCTAATCAAAATAACTAATCCCGACTTGGGACTTTGCAAAGGAAGGGAACAACCCAACAGTGCCATCTCGACTTCAAGTCAGGAAAACGTAATAAATAAATCTGACGGCAGCTTAATCTACGAATCCATGGATATCCATAATCTGGAACCCGATTTTGCTCAGTGGAGACCGTCGTTTCCTTGAAGAATTTGTCTTTCAGACTCAGGGATAGTAAAATAGATGAAATTGGTCTGGTCGCAGTTCGTTCGCTGCTGGTCGTCTGTCTTCGTCGAACATCATGGTCCATCTGTTCCTTATCTGCCTACTTCATCGCTTCTGGTTTGGTTGCGCAATATGCTCACCTGCGTCAAGCAAAACAAAAGACAAAAATGGAGAGATTTTGCAGGTCAATAGGGTGACTTCGTTGACAATTCATAACGACGAAATAACTCAGAAGATGTGAAGCCATTACTCGTCTACATACATTCTTGCAGAAGACTGCTGGAAAAAATTGAAACTCGGTTTATTTTCTTTAAGCCATCAATATGTCGGCTAAAAAGCCCTAAAGAACAACATTGGCGCAAAATGCTTTAATAGCAATGTTGATGTCAAAACAGAGCGTACGTGCTTATAAGAAAGAGCTAATCCAGTTGAAGGAGTCGCTCAATCCAACAGGCCGTTATCGAGCATCGGCACTCATTTTGCGAAATATCCGAAATCTGATAAAACATCAACTTATTTGACTTTCATGTGATCATCTATGTTCCCCTATACATGTTTCGCAATCGAATCCAGAGTACATCCCGACAACCTCCCTTGGTAGACACCGTTTTTCGCCGAGCGTTCTTCAAGCTGTTTTAAACTAGCCTAATAAATTTTAGCTAGATAGTAGTCTTATTCGAATGCTAATCTTTAACGGTGCTCCTACATATGTTGTTTGAACTGTCGTTAAGAACGTCATTGAACTTCGGCTCAACCTCATAGATTTCCATATTGTGACAGGATAATTAGCCCACCTGTGTCAGCCTTGCGCAAATCTCAGAAGAACAGTTGTGCGTTCAAACCTTTTATGTTCAGTTGATGTGTTCGGCCAATTTTGTCGAAAATACTGTTGAACTCATGTATTCTATAGTGAATGAATTTTTTTAGTCAGCTATACTGAAGTCATGGTGCATCCTAATGTTGGAAGAAGCGCACACGATTCTCAATCCAGGACCCGAATCCTAGCATCTACGATGGAAAGAGCAAGTTTTCATCAACTCACGATAAATTCAGAATGAGAGTACGCTTTTTTCTCTTTGTCCTCTGTATGGCTTACCTATTCAAACTTGGACTTAACTGTGGGTTTATAGGAGAAACTGCTTATGCATGGAAAATAATACGCTATAACATTATCGAAAATAGTGTAGTTGGCAAATTAACAGAAACGTTTGAGGAATCCGACGTAACGATCAGGACGGATTATGGAAAGCAGAGAAATTGATGAATCGAAGGTGGAATTACCCAAACAGAAAACGTACTGATGGAAAAAATTGACAATTTGGAAGGAAAAGTGCAGCAGCAACGATGTTGATTTCGTCCGTCTCCTTACAAACCAGTTGCGACTTCAAACTTTAAGTCTACGTCTACGAAGATCTTTCTACATTCCCTATTTCCGTGCAAGAATTCTCTAATCCTGGAAATATTTCAAGTGACACTTATTGTATATGTAGCTGTTTAAGAAGACAGAGTAAGAGCTCAATCGTAGGATGTGGTCCTTCCCATGAACGTTTCATGAAACGTTTCAAAATAAAGAAACCACGGTACTGTTGAGTTGATCCCTCTGAAAAAATCATAGCAGGATTGCCCATGCAGGAAAAGGACTTTACCTTGCCAGAAACGCAGATAAAAGTATCCGTTTTTTATCTGGTGGCTTACTTTCACTTAGAATTAGAAAAACGGTCTTCGGTTCCAACGAATCTCATAGGTTCAGAAGACTCAATCTAAAAGTCACCAATGAGGTACTGGAGACTGCTACATGCATAAGAACGGATTACGAAGCCATCTTTGTGGTGTGGTGAGGATGTACAGTAGGAATGAAACATTTTTATAATGTTCCATTTAATTAGACATGGGATAAGACTAATTAAACAAAAAAAAGCTTCCTACTACACATCTTACAGGTTCGCGATACTTCTCCATCACCTGATCCAGAAAAGGTTAGTGTTTCATTTAAGATTAAATTAAAAAATGACGAAATGGAGCCATCTAGATTGACTACACGAAAAGCTTCCTGCATTCCAATTCATGGCTATGAACCGATTTTCTATCGACGAAAGCAAAAAGATTGATGGCAATTCTCCGTTGCCGGCCCGTTGACGATATTCTCAGCTTTATGTTGGTTTTCTGTGCGACCTGAGAACATTCGATGCCAGTTTTTGCAGCTGATCAATCGCCCATCTGGGAGAACGGGCGTCGACAAGGTCGACGGCCTGTTCGATCCCGGCCGCCTGGCTGCAGTTTTTTTGTGTTTCGACTGCGTGACAGACTATAATTACGGATGGCGATGCGTCAGGAAACGAGGGTCAGCGAGGGAACTACCCGGAATTCGGAGTGACAGCGGATGCTGATTACTAGTAGTGGAAATAGAATGTGGGGCGAGCCGAGCTGTTGGATTGAACGACTCAGAAACAAGGAATTCGCTCAAATATACGAATGTAATATGGAAGCGAGAAAACCTTCGACAATAATCTTGCACTGCAACTTATCCCGTGCTTTTCATTAATGGACCTTCTAAGAACATGCAGAGCATAGAAAGCGATAGAATTTTTCCCGGTTCCCTCAGTGATGAATTTTCGTTTTCATTTCATTTAATCCTTCCACAACTACTTCGAATATGAGCACTCTATGAATTTATGACTTGCCTGCTAATGGAAGCGAACTGATTTCCACCACAAAAAGTTCTTTTTGTTTCCATGAAGAATTCACTCTTCACTCACCTTAATCGCGTCATGGATTTGATGAGCGAAGAATTTTGCTTTGCTTTGAGCGATCATCATCAAAGCCTAAACCGCTACGGTAATAAGCGATTACTGATAAAACCTATTAACGCACAGGTAGTAAATAAGTAGTTAAAATTGTGATTTCGACTACAGCCTCAACTGGGTTCATTGCCGATTCGGGCTCCCCAGATCAAACCCGTTGATTGGTGATTGCTGATGGCACTAATCGATAGAACTAGCTGTGAGGAAGGCGGAACGAAGGACCCGTATGGTGTGGTGGTGAACGCGTTACTCCTCGGAAAGGACAATAGAGCGTTCGTTCCCCACCACAGACACTTGCGGTCTGGAGTTTTGCAAATATCTCAGCATCACTGAAGTTATATTTTGCAACGTACCCTGCCATTAAAAAGAGTAGGCAGTAACTAATAAGTTAAAATTATTAACACACAATTCAAAGCACTTTTGAACTTCTCGTATCAACACCGGATCTCCTACATACTGGGAAGAAGGATTTTTCCATTAAACTATCCTTTTAGTAAATTTAGAAAAATCTTTCCTTCTTAGTTCGAGGGAAAGCACTAGGGTGTATTGTTTTGTCGGAGCACTAGAACTTGGACTTGACTACATTCATGGTGAAATATAGTTTTTCTATCTTAAGCAACATGCTGCTCCTGCTTTGGTGGAAAAAAATAGCTATTCTATGAAAATATAAAGTCCCGTAATTTCGTTTTTCCTATTTACATTATAACTGCGATTTGCTTTTTTTACTAGTCTATGTTCCTGTGTGAAAATCATTGCCTTTAGTCCCATAAATCATCTAACCACCCAAGAAAGCATCATGTGTCCATTCGTCTCCGTTAGGCTGGTCAGCGAGCTCCATTCACTAGATGGGCATGAGCAGCATCATATTTCTGATGTCTGCTGCACACTTGTCAAGAAAGCTCCACCAGTAGGTGAATTCTCATACACACCTCCGAGTAGCTTGTTAAAATCTCCAGTAGATAAAGGGCATCGTTGATAGAGTCGACCTCCAACCACGTACTTTCCAGTAACATTCCTTTCAGTAGATTGCAAGCTTTTCACCGAACCATTGTGTAAGAGACGATCCAGATAGAGAGGAGCGTAGTTGTGCAAATATATTAGGAGAGCTATCAAGATTTCATATTTGGTGTATAGCCGCCTCTAATCTTTGTTTAGCACCTAACTACCATTAAGAGATACGCCAAGTAGCCTTACGATTGCTTGGAGATCCTGGTATGAGGAAGATTTGTCGATTACTTTTACAGCCTTAGCTTCGTTGGAGACTCGGAAGCTACTAACTTATTGAGTGGAACACAGATGTAGCCATGCACTGCATTAGTTTAAATGGTCTCAACTCGGCTGGCTTTATAATACTTTATAAGACTAGAGAGGTAATCAATAATAAATATGGAGAGGAAGAAAACAATAAGAAAATCCTGAACAAGGATGCATTGCTAAGGAGAAATATTCAGAAGACACTTTCACGTTATTCGAGGTGCCAAAGGATCCATTTTTAAATAAGGCAAAAGAACGTATTTATTTGTCCTCGTACTCAAGAAGGAAAAGATCAGTGTGTCGACATCACTATTTTTCTTCGAAGGATAGAGCTGTCGATGTTAAAGAATCCCTGAGGGATGTGTCATGCATTCGACCACGTCAAGATTCGTTAGAGGTGATTGAATGCAGAAATAGTCTATATATAGATCATGTTAAGTTCTATCCTCCGTGAGAAGTTTGTTACCAATTCGAAGACCCCGCAGAGATACAAAGCTTAGTGAGTCTATGGCACGGGATAGAACCAGCGACTAGTCCAGTGTGTGCTGCAGAGTGCCTCTAACCACTGCGCTATACTCGATCTTCTTTCTTTTTATATCCACTTTTTAAACAATGTATCAGTGTCTGGGAAGAGTGCGAAGGAGTCGAACAGCAATTTCGTCGAAGACAAGGAGCAGCTTCCTGTTCAATTCTGAACTTTATTCCGCTTGTTGTGCCAAAAGCTATTAAATAAAACACTGCAAGAACGTAAGCCAGATCATGATTGAAAGAATGAAAATTATAATTTGGAATTTGCTTGAAAAGATGTGGATGTATGGGAAACTATTAGAAATTCTTATTTCCGGCTCTCAGAAAGGAGAAATCGTCGAAACGTCAGTCGAGTAAACTCTTGTTATAAACTCCGAGTTAGCTTATCGATGAAAGAATACACATCGTTCAGTCATACCGAGGTTAAATGAAAGTCGTTTTTTGAAATACTGGCACACTCTGTGCTAGCTGATAATGATACCGACTGCTGCAGGATGGACTATCAAGGGAAAAACGAACGATTATCAATGGACACTCAGTATCATCAGGAATCGTTCCGTATTCAATGGCATAGCCGAATGACGTTGCCTCATTCGAGCGATGATCCACTGATGAAGACTCGACTTGATACGACGACGAAGAGCCACTTCGCGAGGACGAACGACTGTGTACTATTGTACCAGTCGACTCCGAATAAGGCGTCGGTGCCGGAATTTTTGCCGAATAAAGCTTTTTATCAACCTCGTCTTAGCTAACCAATAAAGAAATTCATATTGGGGATTCTATTTATCAGCTAAATACTGCCCAACGTTATTATCGGCGAAGTTCACTGTAGAAACATTGATATCTAGAACATCAAAGACGAGCACAAATGTATCGGTGGAGGATAAATTTGCAAAGTAAAGATGAAACAAGGAATAGAAACTGCTGAAAAGGAAAGAGATGTATCCTTATAAAGGGTGCTATCAAACTCCTTACTTTCTAAAATGTAAGTATTAACGTTACAAATTGCGCTTACTTCAGTCATTGGAGGAATTCCTTATTTTCCTCCTGCTATCATGTTATCGTAATCTAAAAAACTAAATATGACTTCTCTTCCACACTTTGGAGATGTTCCGGATATCCTGGTTAACAACGGGTCGCAAGTGAGGTGCACAGAATCGAGAGCTCACATTAATTTTGTCTTAATTCGTAGCGGTTAAGTCGAAACAATGCTGATTTCATCTTTCTGGATGTTGTCGAAGCCTTCAATATGTCAAGTGCACAATGGACGAGGGCAATATGCTCCTTAGGAATTTATGCTTGACTCCAAAAACTTCTTACTACAGATTCTGTGCAAATGAAAGCCAAACTTCAGTCTAGTTTGGAGCTCGATTTACTTCGAGAAGTGGGCACTCCTTTCCTTCATAAAAGCACAAGTCCAAAAAGAAATCAATGATGCCGTGATAAAAAAAAAATAAATATGAACAAGTATAAAAGCAGAAGTCTCCTTCTGTATATTCATATTGACCAATCATTCTCGCTATTCACTTGTAAAGCCATTAAAACAACGAAAGTGGATTTAGGGCCGGCAATCAACCTGTGGTGACCGGCTTTCGAGAGAAAAAGTCAACGTCACTCTGCTTCTTAGCTGGCGAGTCCGCCATATTCATTTCATTAATTCACCGACCTCGGATGGATTACGAGACCACTTAGCGACTCTTCTTGGGAGGAACATTTTATTGTAGTTGACTCGAAGCTCATAACTTTGTTGAAAATGATTTATCTGGCTTACCATTCCGCCCGACTGTGTGGAGACTTTCATTTTTGTTTAGTTTATTGATGTTGTTTCAATAAATATTCCATTGTACACGATATTTGGTGTTTATTTTTTGAAGACATGGAAATATTGCATTTGAAACTATTGCAAAAATTTCTTGCCTCAAATCAAAGACAGCAGTGTGCAGCTACGGACAATATTGAGCACCTGGGTTAAAATTCTGGGTTCGAAAATATCTCTAGTGAATAAACTGATGGTAAGGCGATATATAACGAATACCATAAGGGCTAAACTCGCCTACATAATTTACTTCCTTACGCAATAAGTACGGTTTTATTTGAGTTATTACTGGCTTTTTTTCCACCCGAGAGGCCTTGAAAGAAAGGCTCTCAGTTACAGTACAACGTAAAATCGGGCGGGAAATTACCTGGCGAACAGAGATCGAGAACGCCATTCGATCGATATCTACCAAACCAACATTGTAATCACCTGTAGCAATGGCACTTCGGAAACTCTACGTGTCGTCTCTTTCATTTCAGGGGAAAGAATTGTTATAGTGGCAGAAAAAGTGCATACAATCATCCGTTATTTTTACGTCAGCTGATTTAAACGGAAAACCGGGGAAAAAAGTCACAACCCGAGTAGGAGGATGTAGTCCTCCTTTATGGCTTGCCCATATGGAATGAAATCAATAAAACGGTAAAAAGATGTCAGAAATAAAGCTCATGATTTATCTATTTTTTGGGTACAGCGTTTAGAAATGTTAGGGAAACCCCACCCAAGGACATTTTCTCAATAATTTTCCAAAAATTTATCGATTCACCTAGAAATTAGTAACTAATAGGTTTAGTTCTTAAATATGATTCCACTAATCTTTCAATACATCTACTCCGACGGAATCACTTCTTGAATAATTTCAATAAATCTATTTTTCAATCCGCTAAAAAAAGAAAAGTGGTTGAAATCTAGAGGTAAAAAAGTCTTCGGCGTTGATCAATCTCTGAGAGATGCGCTATGCATTCGACTTTATTAAGCATCGTTGGAGGTGACTGAATGCGTATCTGGCCTTCACAATGACTCGCGGTGGCCTACGGATGTACCGAGCCACTGCTGCTTTCTTCCCAGACAACTTTGGTACCAGTTTCACGATCCCAGAATGATGGGGGCTTAGTGGGCCTGAGGCGCAGGGATCGATTCCAAGCCTGTTGCAGGGCGGCTCCGATCACTGTGTCACACGCGCCCTTTAAATCTATTAAGTCGTTCAGAAATAAGTGAGCGTTTTTAACTATATTATTCAAATTATCATAACTTGTCTGAAAGAAAATTTTACTAATCAAAATGAAAAGCATTTGAACAGGTTTATTTATTCCAGGTGCATAAAATTCTAGAGTTCTGGAAGCGGTGAATTCGTTGAAGGCATTTTTTTGCATCAACGTGGCTGGTGAAGCACTCCTCGCCCAGGAAACTGTCATGGTGCTTGAAGATGTGGTAGTCGGTAGGCGAGAGGCTTGATGAATATGGGATGAGGCAAAGTTTCGCTGCCTTACTCGTTCAACTACTTACGCAGTGCTGGCTCCGCTACGTGAGGACGGTCGTTGTCGTGGAGAAGGATTGTTCCCTTACTGTTAACTAATGCCGGTCGTTGTTGTTGGAGTTTACTATGCATTTCGTCGATTTGTTGTCACTCCTCTGTAATCGTTTCGCCCAGATTCAAAAACCTGTGATGAAACAGCCCGGCTGCAGATCACCAATAGTTACCATAACTTTTTTTGGTGCGATTTCGGATTTGACACATACTGTGGAGCCTGATTGCAATCCAAACATTGAGCTGAACGTCGTCGGATGACGTACAGAATCCAATTCTCGTCGCATGTCACAATTCGATGAAGAAAAGGGTCGTTTTGTTGCGCAGAATAAGAGCAAGCGACACTTCAAAACGGTGATTTTTTTTAAAATTATCGTTTAATTTGTGTGACACCCACCTATCGAGTCTTTTTGTCTTTCCTATGCTATTCAAGTGAGTGGAAATCGTTCCTGTGCTTACGCTATGGTGTTCTTCAAGCTCTCGAACAGTGGTTCGCGCGCTTGCTTCCACTAGTGCCTTCAATTCGTCGTCGTGAAGTTCATTGCGACGTCCGCGGCCTTCCTTAACTTCGAGATCGAAATCACCAGATCGGAATTTCTGGAGCCATGTTCGCACTGATGATTCACTACCTTCATCCCAAACTTCATTAATGAGTGTTTCGAGTCGTCTCTGCTGTAATACGATCAAGTTTGAACTCATAGAAGAAAATTTGATGAGGACTCGTTTCTGACATCTAAAATTGTAAAGCTCAAAACTGGTAAAGCAACTAAATTTTGATGAAATATAAAGACATAGCTAGAAAGAGCATACAATCAGCTTTCTAACGTTATATAGCATTTTAACGTATAAAAAAATTTTATTGGTAAACATTAATACAGTAGAGAATTTAAAACGCTCATTTATTTCTAGACAACCTAATAGAAATAGGCAAAAAATTAGTCAGTAAGGGACTTTTCCCTGTAAATCGATGCCCGTTTTCTGTAGGTCCTTCATACACGTACACAAAAAGGCACCAGCACAACGAACTGAGCGATGAGAAGAATGCGACGGTACGCGAAAATCAGAGAATGTAACATCTTAGAAACCATCTCATTTATAGCCAACGATACGGCACACTACGCTGAATGCGTCTCCTTACCTGGGAAAATAAGTAAATAAACAGTTCAATTGTTATGTGAAAAAACGTACCAGTAACAGATGCTTGGCGTCGCCACTGAAATCGCGTTCGATCGCTTCTTTGACGGAACGGCCGGTGATGCTCTCGTATTCGGACATCAGATATCCAAGGTGACTGGCACTCGACGTCGCAAACACCTTGTACTGGAACAGAATCCATGCTGTTAAACATTATAGCCATCACCAGACTACAACTGAATCGAACTCTACTCAACACGCATAAGAAAGGTTTTGAAATTGATTCCGGAGAAATCTTGCTAATTATTCTAAATGGAAGGTCCTCTTAGAAGATGCTCATCTTAGTAGAGTTCTAGCACAAGTACTGACAGTTTTGACAGAAATCTCAACACTACCCGTTTTAGAAAAAAATCCACGCTTGGAATTTCTCGTCCCAAGAAATTCGAATTTGTTCCACTTTCTATGCCATCATATCAACGGCTATAAAGCTAACAGTTAATATATCAGCATTTCTTTCCAGGTTCATAGCAAAAAGCTTATCAGCAAGCATTTTCGAGATGCAACTTTGCAGCCGAGTCAAAGACGATCGAGAAGTTATCCGGGTACTTCTGCTTAGTAGAACAGCAAAAAAGGAATAGAAAAAGAAATGCAGATATTGAATATAGTAAGAAAGGCTCCTCACTGAGACTCACCACTTCAAATTTATCGTAGAGCGCTTTCCTCTCTCCAAACCTTGCAATTTGGTGCGCTTCCTGAAAATGCATGGATACAATTTTTCCATTTTCAACTTATGACACTCAGCCACTAAAGGAATTATTCCATCTGAAAGTTGTTCACTCGTGGAGAAGACCTCACGAAAAAACAACTACCACGGCTGTCATTCTCGAAAACGCACTTTATCGCTTTCGACAATTTACATCAAGTTTGAATCTACAACGAAAATCCCAAGTGTTATTTATGCAACTAAATAATGGTTTTAAACATAACCAATGAAGGACAAATGATAGAGCATTCGGCGTTGACGAGTCCTTCAGTGAGTCTCTGTCCATTCGACTTCGTAAAGCACCTTCGAGACGATCTATGAACATTTGGCCTACACAGTGACTTGCAAGTATTTAGCAATATATTAAGTCATTATTAACTAGCTGAGAGACAGGCAAAGCGAAGGACTCTCATGGTGTGCTGATGAATGCGTTAACCCCGGAAAAGGTAATAGCGCGTTCGTTCCCCACCGCTGACACCAGCAGTCCGGAGTTTTGCAAATATCTCAGCACCATTAGAACATTAGTTTGCCGCAAAAGACTTCTTGGCTTTAAACACCCATTTGAAGACATGTGTTTCAGCACATATGGTGTTATGGCTGCTAATACCAATAGAAACCAGTGTAATCTATATAGATACCTTAAGGAAATATACATACATCTATTTACTGGATCAAAATGGAACTCTAGACCTCATCAGCCTACGAATTTTCTGAAGCTATTCCCAACTGTGGTATGGTCACTGGAAACTTCTCCTACAGCAGATGGCGATATGCGCTAAAAAGCTGCGGTCAGTGGGCAAAAACTTGAAAGCTAAATTCGACAGAACTCCGTATCTCAATTCTTACAACCTTTATAGTATTAGTTGTTAAATGTATGGTCGCTTGTTGTCAATCCACAGAATTTCTTTCCTGCCAAGTGATCGATGTCTGTTGCAGACGGCTTTTGTGGTTTCTTCTATTTTTCGACAATACTTCTTTCTTTTTGCAATGGTTTTATCACCGTTCAAGTAGTAAGCAGGTGATTACATACAGAAAAGAAATCATAACAACGTTCTTATGACTAGCATTAAATCCATGCAGCACCCGGGTACTCGAAAAATTCTCCATGGATTTGCCTAAAATGATGTTTTCATATAGCCTCCATAATGCAGCAGTTTGCTCCTCATCCTTCTTCTGTTCAGTTTTCTCGTTTCCATCATGAAGATTCTGAATCTGGCGCTGTAAGACTCGTTACGGTTTGCTCTTTAAACGCAGCGTTGACAAAGCGAGGCGTTGCCGTGGATTTCCCCTACAAGAGTGGATTCGCTCCACAAAAGTCTGCTTCCATTAATTTTATTTGGAATTCTTGAATTCCAACAGATTAATATACAATTAATATACAACACAGATTAATAAAAGGAATCAAACATTAGCGCATAAATCTAGAATAAACAGGTGCTTTAGGAATAAAATTGCAAGTACGAAGGTAAAAAACGTTATTTTAGAAACAAAGCGTCAGCGCTTGGGAAGCCTAAGTCCACAAGCTTCTTCACGCCAAATTACTAAAAACTAGAAGCTTTTCCTAAAGAGAATCTGTTTAACACACCTCTACTATGATTAACACGCGTTTCTATTTAGTCTTATTCACTTACTCGCTGTAATTTCGCTAATTATGATACTAAGTTCACCTCGTCGCGCATGCACCAGAGTTGGTTTGTGATCACGGTTTGCTACAGGGATACCAAAACGATACTTTTGACATGATATCTCTGATCCTTCCAGTTTTGTCCAATACGCCAGCCATATATAGCTCGTAGGGTTTGCCCTCGCATGGGATTACCATTTTCTGGGCTTCCAGATGGAAATGTTACACTGCTGAACATAGGTGATTCTTCTGAGAGATGAATCTGAGCTGTACATAAAGAAATGAAATCGAAAACAGCTTCCACAAACCACTCTGAGGCAGTAAACTACTGAGAAACTATACAAGTAAACGATACAATTCCCTGGAGTAATTATAAATATCACTTATCTCCCATTCCGAAAGTTATAGATTAGAAGATGTCGCACCGAGAGGACGACCGACTGTGGACCCATCGACTTGGATCACCGGCTCTAACGAAGACGAAAACGTCGAAACGTTAGCCAAATAAACATTCTTTCCTATTAACCTCGTTTTAGCGTAACAATAGAGCAAGGTATTGATTATCAATGCAGAGCTTAAATGACAGCCGGTTTGGAAAATGCTGATTTGGTATAGATTATATTTGCTCAAGACGAACACCGAAATCATTTTCCGCTTCAGCCCAGTTACTTCTTCCCAAGGCAAACTTTCCTATATCTACTGCACTGACATCGTGTAGGTCTCTGGATCCAAAAATGCAGGAAAAAAGTCATACCTCTTCCTAGTTTCTCACAAGTTCGACTTTCTATTATCCTAGGCAATGATTGAATAATTCTTTCTACTTCCGCTTAGCAAACACGAGGTGCTATTTTATTTCTTCATTTACGTACAAGCTGACGTTTCGGCGGATTTCGCCCTCCTCAGAGCCTGGAAAGGTTAAGTTGACAGTAACCTATTCGGCCAAACACCTTCATAACCAAACAGAGAAAACGCTAAACCAAGATTTCAATCACATTTAATACAGCTCTGCACACTCACCGCTTTCTATGAGTCTTCTGAGTATGCCGTGTGAAGACCGGCCGCACAGAATTCA